GAGTCTGGCTGAGTCAACAATAACACATAAGAAAAAAAAAAGAATTGTTCTGCATTTGTCATTTTTTAAAATGTTCTTTTGTTTATTTATTAGAGTCATGCAAGAGGCTTAGCCGTCAAGACCAAAAATCAGTCTATGCTATGACTATGCATTTATCTCTGTATTATGAAGCTGTTTCATATTATGAAACGTTATTGTATGAAAATAATCAGGTGAAGAGTCACATTGAAATGAACAGATTTCAGAGTATCGCTTGTATTTTGTGCAAGCTGCATGCAAAAATCAACACAGCACCAGTGTAGTCCAAATCAAGAAAACAAAAATCAGTTTCACTCAAGTTTGAATCAGTCTGACGAATTCTTCACTGAATGAACTCACTGAATCAGAAATCAAAAGAAGAGATGCAGTCCCCAGATGGCATGTTTATTACAGAAGCATTTCGGATAAATTACTTTGTGGAAAAAGCTGTTGACTGAATGAACTGCATATACTGTATAGCCTGTGTGAGTAAAGTGTACACCAATTACATACTGCAAGTAAAACTGATTTAAAAAATGAACAGCTTTCTGTTGTTTCGTGCAAATTAACTATAATAATCTGACATTAATTGTGATCTTGAATTGATTCATTTATTACTCCAAAACCTGCATGTGACATCATTAACTACAGTCCTGTGTTGTTTAACCAATGTGGTTGAAATGACATATGATTATGTTAGTACGGTTTCGGGAAATAGTTGCAAATAGCTAGTTCATTTTTTTTCAATGATGCATTGTACTATGGTGGTTAAGCAGTGATTTGTTGTACGTGAAAGACACCTCAGAATGGTCCCAGCATCTAGACTCACATAACTGCAAATGAACGTAACTTTCTGTGTCATCTGTTTTGAAAATATAGGACTTTTGTATACTGAAGGTTTGTGGAACTCAACTTAGCAGTGTAATTCCTGACTGGTTTCGTGGTAAGCTCCGCTGCCACATTTACCTACAGCATCTGTGGCTTTTTGAAACTTTGAATCAATTGAACCAATTTAAATTTCGGAAAAATGATTTGCTTTCCCGATGCGCTTGAAACGCCACATGTTGGTGACGCCTACTGGTCAGAACAGTGTAAATGCAACACAATTTCGAAAACATTTTGAAACAGTTATGACATAAAGAAGCCTTGTTTACTGACACCATGTGACTTTGGATGTTTGATTCGCTCTCCAAATCACTTGAAACGATGATGATTAGTGAAGGTTTCAAAGCTTCATGAAGCAGTGTTTCGAAAGCGCCCATCACAACCTGTGATGTTCTTGTACTGTAGCTTTCAAATACTGACCCGGGAATGAATCAAATCAAATATATGGATAATTCATTCCTACTGTAGCACTGGTTTAAAATAACCAAATATTTGGGCTGACAACCCAATCTATATTGGTGCAATATTCAACCAGCTGTCGTTTTTAACCCAGCAACTGGCTAAATTAAAACCTTACTCCGTACACAGACCCTGCCATAATATCTGTCAATTCTGTTTCTAATGAAATCTCCGCAGTCCTTCTAAACCTCAAATTGTGTTGCTACTCTACTGTGATTTTCAGTATGAAACAATTTTTTGACAAACATATATCGGTCTTACCGTTTTCAGCTCTTCAACATTTCAGCTAATTTTTCCTCACAACCCTCAACTGTTCTTGAGATAAATGAAAATCAGGTGGTGAGGTTACAAAAGTTCTTTGTGGGGATGACTAGGAGCAAATTTCAAGGGACAACAAACAGTCACACACTATCTCAAATGATTATCTCTTCAAAATAGCCTACTCCAGGAATGGCGCAGAGAAGTTAAGTGCAATTTGAAATCAGAGGCTCGTAACAAAGCAGACCGCCGCTTATCTGTGCGCTAATGCGTGAACTCCATTGATCTGCACTTGTGTTTGTGGCCATGACTAGGAAATGTATGAATGAGTTTGGGAATTTGAACAGATGAAGATAACGTGGTGCACGTTGGGAACAAAATGGATGTGCTGATACTCCTGGAGCCAACAGTCAGATGGCCTACAGTACAACTCATCCAACTCCGGCAATCTCAATACGATTGGTTCTTTCATAGTCATTTTCTACAGCTCTTCCCTAAACTCTGGCAATTTCCAGAGACAGGATGATTTGCAAAACCCTGCTGATATATATTTAGCTAAACTGATGCTGTTACGAAGCAATGCCACAGAACCAAAATTATCTAGCTCATCAAAAAATTACTTTATCTTGTCCCATCCCGCTGTCGTTCCTCTGGCAACTGTGTGACATACTATCAAAAGGAAGGATGCAGCAGCTATCTGGCTTATGGTTTCAGAACAATTTAACCTTCTATCAACACTGGCGCATGGTCAACTCCCGCTAAGATCTCTGTCTGCTCAATGACGTAGGCTGCATATTGTGAAATTCCCAAAAAGCATCCTCTTGTAGACTGGATTCAATGAATCATCGCCGTTCATACACTCACACGCTGACCATTTGCCAAATATTTAAGACGATGACAAGGAGAAAGCCAAGAGACAGCTCAGAGCGGCCTGGAAAAGAAAAGTAATTGCTAAGTCTGCTAATTAACCTCATGCATGGGCACACGAGATGATAAAGCACAAAGTTGACAAGCAAAAGAAATGATCCTGTATGATGAGTGAATTTGAGAGTAAGGACAGCGATAACTAAAAACCTGCCACTTTTTTCTCACAGACAAATGACAATTCAGAATATTGTAGCTGTGCAAATATGTTCTGAATGGCTGTGCCTGTTTCGCAAACATTTTACTTTTAGTGTGGTCAATGTTCTTTGGTGTCATCGAACACTTACATTTCACCAATACAGAAAATGATTCAAAACATCTCCAGACTGCAATTAAATAGTTGTTGTTTTTTTTCCTGCCTGTGCACTGGTTCCACTACCAAGTTGCACAATTGATAAGTGCTGCCCTTTCTGTTGCGATACTTGTTTGAACTGCATAGCAAGGAGAATTTCTCAGCTCAGCCCAGCCCAGTATACAGTGCAGCGCGAGCTCAAAGCAGGTGCGTTTGCTAGCGGACCGATCTCAATTATGCAACACCATAAACGGTGATATCCAGTGAGAAGCGCTTGAATTTATCCCATAATTTTCTGTTACAAAACCCAAATGTATCGGTGATTTAAACTAGTTTAACCCTTGTGCGTCAATTTAAAAAAAGATACTCTGAGGTCCTTAGAGGACAAAAATGTCCATGTCAAATAACTGTCATAAAAGCTTAAAGCTTGGGAGTACAGACTTAAGTTTGGTTTCATTTTAAAGAAGACCCATGTCAAATTATTGCTGAAGTAAAAAAGTTTTTAAAAAGTGAAAAAAAAAAAAAAAAGGTTTTAATTTATAACAATAAAAAATAAAAAAAATTTGCAAGATTTATATTTTATAAATATGTTGACCTCAAAAATTGCTAGAAAATCAAAGCCCTAAATCTAAACAAGTTTTGTTCTATATTTGAGTTTGATATCTCAAAAAAAAAAAAAATCTGCCAAATTTTTTTGAACGTGTTACTACAGTAAAATCATTTACCATGGTTTTACTGTAGTAACACTAACTGTAGCCATGCTTTTTCAGCTGAAATATGGAATATTCATATTAAATGTTATATTATTTTTATTATTATTATTATTATTATTATTTATTTTTTGCTTTTTGTACTTTAAATGTGTTTACACTTTTTTTCATGTGTTACCGTAGGTAATGAATGTACATTTATGTTTTCTGTCTCCCAACTCAAGCTCAAAATATGTAATATTATTAGTAACTGTACGTATTTATGAAATACAATTATTAAAATAGTAATTTATGATCATTATTTTATGAATATTGCTACTGCTCCGAAATGTTTGTCTGGAGCCCTGTTTAGTGTTTGAACAGAAAGTGAAATAATGCAGCATTACGCCAATTCCAAGATATTTGATATTTAATATAAGCTGTGTGGATGTGAAACCAGAAACCAGGCAAATGTTAATATGTGTTGTCAGTTGTTGTGGCTGGATGCATCATTTTAAAGATTAAATGAATGTGTTGTCACTTTATAAGAACAGGGGGAAAAAAATATGTAATTTTGGTTGTTGTCTGTCACCTGCTAAAAACTACAAGTGACGAAGGATGAAATATAAACTCACTGATCATTGTTTGTTTTTTACAAAATGGTTTAGGAGCAGGTTTATCTGCATTAGATTTTAACATAATAATAGACATAGATAAAAGTGTAATAAATATGTAATTTTGGTTGTTGTCTGTCTCCTGCTAAAAACTACAAGTGACGAAGGATGAAATATAAACTCACTGATCATTGTTTGTTTTTTACAAAATGGTTTAGGAGCAGGTTTATCTGCATTAGATTTTAACATAATAATAGACATAGATAAAAGTGTAAAAACAATAAAAATAAATAAATAAATAAATAATTCAACTGCAATCCAGTCCATGACTAATTGTGAAAATTGTGAAAAATAAATAAATAAATGCATTCAACTGCAATCCAGTCCATGACTAATTGTGCAAATTGTGAAAAAAAATAAAAATAAATTGTGGAAAATCGGAATGTGAAAAAATCTATAAAAGAAAACACTGAATAGCTTTTAAAAACGGCATGCCACTAACCTGGCAGACATGGCTAAATCCAGGGATTAGTTTCTCAGAAGCAGTCATCATAACAACCTGATACTTTGTAAACACAACTTTGTTTCCAGGCATACTGATAAATACCTGTGTATCCTGAGCCCAAGAAATTATGTAAAGGCAGCCAATCAGATTAGAGCTTGCCAGAAAGTGTTTGCCATTCTTGTGTGCAATAAGAGTCAGATGGTCAGTGGTAATATCTAGAATCTCATGCTTGTCAGTGACTTCCATCTCTAAATTTAGTCAGACTTGGTAAGGTTTTAAATTTAGACATACATAAATGGACACATGATATATATATATATATAAGTGAAGAGCAACATTGCAGACATGTACGGTACCTTCTTAGTCTTGACAGTGGAATGGCAGCAGTCGCCTCCATCGTAGTTGCAGTAGGCTCTGTTGTTGATGGCATCACAGTAATTGTCACCCATGAAAGGCTGAGACAAAAACAGAGAGAAACTCAGAGCACCACTAACAGGAGAAATGGAGAGATACTGTATATGATATACAAATATATTCAGTGCTTCATTGCTTCTAGGCTTATATGTCATAAGTGTGGCCATGGATTACTCAAGGATGATGGGTCAACTTCTCCAACACCCACCATTTTGAAGAAAAAAAAATGTACTGTTAAAATTGTTACATTAATTTTTCATTATATCTTATGTTTGCAGGGGCAACTTTTATATTGCTTTAAAGGACACATGGGTTGAAAAAAAAGTTGACAAAACTAATTTTGAGGTGAACTGTTCCTTTAGTGCAGTGCATCCTATTGAAGATATTGCCATTTTCTTCTTCACAATCTCGTTTTAATTTGTGTCAAATAAATATGTCTACGCTTACTACATTTTATAGACTTTCTTAACATATTAAAGCCTATTTTAAATTATTTTGTGATGAAAATGCTCTGTTAATCAACAGCATGCAGATGTATTTACTTTCATCCAAAGTGACCCGAGTTGTACTTCAACATGTCCAATCCTACAATATATATATATATATATATATACACAGTACATACAGGGCCTAAAACTAACTTTTTGCCACACCTGCCAATGGCCGGTGACATGATAAAATTGATCTGAAATATATAAAAACTTTTAATTGAAGTGATTTTAAAACAATCTTCATATAAACTATATTATATATGTGATTACTGTACAAACAAGCTCACACAAGTTCTTAACAAAATCACGTTAGTCTTGTGATCACGTTGTGATTTTGTGCATGTATTTATGAATGATAAGGGTCTAGTATCAGATAATTAGACTTTATAATAAAAAAAAGTTTCCCAGTTCTGTGCTTGGACAGTACCTCACAGGCTAGTATGCAAGGCCATTTCTGCCACGAAAGAAAGAAAGAAAGAAAGAAAGAAAGAAAGAAAAATAATAAATCATGCTTTGGTAAATTATAATTATAACACAAGTCATGAATATGACAAAACGTTGAAATTTTGACATAATTGTGTGTGTTTTCGTGAGTTGAAGCGCTACTGGTGCGCTGTCTGAAGTGGCTCAGCGTATGCGTACAGCCGAACGCGCAGCCTTTCAAACTATACTTCACTGCACAGTTTAGACGGCGTAACCCCAGGTATGTGTCGCTGCATTCTCGGGTTATGAAGAATAAAGAAGGGAAAAGTTAATCTTCCGAAATGAAGCAGAAAAATCTTCTCAGGTAAAAGTTATTAGAACCGTTGGTAAATTATAATTATAACACAAGTCATGAATATGACAAAACGTTGAAATGATGTAATACTAATTCAAATTTATGATTTAAAATGTCAAAACTATGAGATACCAAGTCACAATTATGAGATAAAAAGTCAAAATTAAGACATAGCAAGTCATTATTATAACAATGTAGACATTGAGAAAAATAAACATATAAATATGATACAAAAAAGTATAAATTATGAGATACAAAGTCAAAATTATGACAGGCAAAAATATATCAGTCATAATTATGAGATAAAAAGTCAAAATGATGAGATACTAAGTCAAAAAGAAAAAATACTAAGTCATAATTATGAGACAAAAAAAAATATTAGACAAAAAGTCAAAATGAGTTAATTTGTCAATTACAAGATAAAAAGTAAAAATTATGTGATGATGCGTCATAATTATGAGATAAAAAGTCAGAATAATAACAGTAAGTCACAATTATGAAAAAAGTTAAAGTTATGTCATACTAAATCAGAATTATGGGATTAAAAAAGTTAAAATGATAAGACACTAAATCAAAATGAGAAAAAAAAAGATGAATCCAAAGTCAAAATTATGAGAGAAACAAAAAAGTCACAATTATGAGAATTTGGCTTTGTCATAATTCAACTTTATCACATAATTATGACTTAGTATCTCAAAATTTTGAAAGTCAAAATTATGAGAAACAAAGTTGTAATTATGAAATACTAAGTCACAATTATGAGATATAACCATGACATTGTAATATAATTATGACAGAAAGCCGTAGGTCAGTTTAGGTTACTTTAGTAAGCCTTACGACTTTCACACTTCCAACTTTTTAACTCATAATTATGATTTCCCAAAGCATTCTTTTCTTTCTTATGTGGAAGAAATTGGTTAACTGAACCTTTTTATTGTCAGACCCCTTCTTATCAAACAAGAAAGGGGACGTATGGTGTAGATGAGAGTTACTTAAAACATTTGTAGATATGCCAGTCTATACTACAAAAATATTGCACCAAGTGACAGGTATCGACAAGCACAGAGGGGGAAACAGAAAGATAGGAGGAGCACTGAACATCACAGTCACTTGGACATGTACTGACTTCAGTGTAGAGTTCCTCTACATCTTCATAAATCTTCTTGGGCCTCTGCAAATGGAGGTCAAGGCAAGAGTGTTGCCAGTGAGGGAGGGAAGGGAGGATAGAGAGCCATTTGAGAGGATATGGATGGTTATCCGGATGTCTTACCTCACATCCTTTTATGCAGCGCAGAACTTCCGGATGGGGGTACCACTTCAGGCCCATGGTGCAGACTATGTGCTGAAAAGAGGAACGAAAGAAAGAGGTTTTCAGAAAGACAAGCAGAGCATGCGATTTTGATGCACCATTGCCATCACAAAGTCAGCACCAATCCCTGTGTTTGCGTCTGGAAATTGACACACAATGGCACTCAGTTACTGTAAGTGTTCTGTTCCCTCCACTTGCCAACCAAAAAAAAAAAAAAAATTTATTCGCTTATGTCAGAAACAGCAAATCTTTTTAAAAACTGACTGCTGTTTTCACTTCATTGCATTGTTATCATTCGTAAACATTGTATCCGCCAACTGGCGACTGGCACTGTTACATGGACTCGCCAACGCTGATTTTTACTCACATTTGGCACTTGGCGAGTGTTAATTTTAGGCCCTGCATGTAGAGTTTCACTCTTACCATTTCCGGTGCATTTTGGATCTGATTGGATGAACAGAAAACACTGAAGAACTTCACACAGCTGGGGAAGGGTTCACTATAGTGCTAATACATAAGCTGAACGTGGAGAGGATTCTGTAGGTTTTACATGCCAATGCAATAAATGCAGAGTACTGTTGGAAGTATTAGCATACGTAACACTTTATTGGATTTAATCAAGAGGAACCCCTATGTATTGTCTTTTAATGCACATTTCTGTCTTATTGTGAATAACTCTCCAGTGCACCCACCCACTTAAGTAGGACTTAAGAACATCTTTATATGTAATTTCATAATTTCTTCTATTGTCTTTGAAATATAGTTAAAGTGTACTGCTGAATGTACTGACTAGCATTTATGGTAAAATATACTTTAATGTAATTTATTTTTAAATGATGTATTTAAAAAATATGTGTCTAATATGCAAATATTTATATTAAAGTATGTATTTAAATATATTTGTAGTTACACATTTGTAATGATGAAAATGCAATTTAGTACATTTAAATATTTATAAACTCTAAATGTAATATTGATTAAAACACTAGTTTAAATTATAATCAAGTACATGTTCTTTAGTATGTTAGTCAGCACATCAAATATATAATCTTTTGTCATGCTTTGAAGATGCAATTTAAACTTTTAATTTGACATTATTAAACAAAACACAAAAAAGCCAAGGAATGTTCACCTTAAGTCTCTCAGCTCTGGCCAACTTTGGAAAAAAATAAATAAATCAGGAACCCATTCAATTTCAACATCTTGTGAAATGTTACCAGTTTCAAAACATGTATAATTGTGTGACCACATAAGTTACGACTGTTTCCAGCATCTTTGTCATCTAGTTAAGGCGAGATATTATAGGTGCTGTACAGAGAGAGACGTGTTCACATAGATGGTCATTAACACATGCTCTTGAGAAAAAGAAAGAAAAAAAAACCTCAAGGGTCCAGTGAGGCTGGCCAAAAGTAAAAGACTGTATGACCTCCACAGATCCCAAACAATCCCTGTCCCAGTAACACATACACACACAAAACACCTGCCTCTTCTCATGTCATCCAGTGCACCCACCCACTTAAGTAGGACTTAAGAACATCTTTATATGTAATTTCATAATTTCTTCTATTGTCTTTGAAATATAGTTAAAGTGTACTGCTGAATGTACTGACTAGCATTTATGGTAAAATATACTTTAATGTAATTTATTTTTAAATGATGTATTTAAAAAATATGTGTCTAATATGCAAATATTTATATTAAAGTATGTATTTAAATATATTTGTAGTTACACATTTGTAATGATGAAAATGCAATTTAGTACATTTAAATATTTATAAACTCTAAATGTAATATTGATTAAAACACTAGTTTAAATTATAATCAAGTACATGTTCTTTAGTATGTTAGTCAGCACATCAAATATATAATCTTTTGTCATGCTTTGAAGATGCAATTTAAACTTTTAATTTGACATTATTAAACAAAACACACTTTAAACATAGTCAAGTGTACTCTCCTTAAGCACACTTAATTGGTGTTTTATTTCATTAATATTATAAAAAACTAGATGAGTAATCTTTGTGAACAAACTGTTAAATTGGCTTGAGAAAGTTAGTAAGCAGTTATAAAAGCTTTAAGTTAAAAAGTTCAGATGCATAGATTAGATGTTGCTAGCACATTGCTAGCATAATTTAACATGTTTTCAACATGTTGCTAGCATGTTTATCCTGATTAGCATGTTGCTTGCATGATAAGAATGCTGTTAACAAGTTGTTAGCATGAATAGCATGTTTTCAACATGTTGCTAGCATGTTTTACTTAACATTTTGTTAATATGATTAGAATGTTACTAACATGTTTCTAGCATGATTAGCATGTTTTAGCATTAAACATGTTGCTTACATGTTGCTAGTGTGATTAGAATGTTGCTAGCATATTTTCACATGATTAGCATGTTGTTAGCATGCCACTAGCATGTTTATTGCATGATTACTGTGTTGCTAGCATGTTTCTAGCATGAATAGCATGTTGATGTATTTCTAACATGATTAACATGTTGCTACCATCTTTCTAGCATGGTTAGCCTTTTTGTTAACACGTTTCAAACATGATTACCATGTTTTTAACATGTTTTAACAATATTAACACATTGATAACATCTTTCTAACATGATAGCATGTTGCTAGCATGATTAGCATGTTTTTAACATTATTAACATGTTGATAGCATGATTAGCATTTTTCTAGAATGATTGGCTTGTTGCTAGAATGTTTTTAGCATGATTAACACATTGTTAGCATGTTTCTAGCATGACTGGCATGTTGCTAACATGTTTCTAGCATGATTAGTGTGTTGTCCTAGGATAGTCATTAAGCTTCGCTAGTTATGCTGCGTTCAAGTCCTCCTGGGACGTTCGTACTTACGAGTTGACAAGTCGTAATTACTATGTCAGGTGTGTTCAAGTCAGTTTAGTCGGCACAAGATGGCGGTGTACCTTCTTTTAATAAATTACAAGAAAATACAACAGGGTCTGTTAACTCTGCTTATAGAAAATGAAGAGCAAAGAATTCGCATCAGGTGTGTTTT